GATGATGATGATGATGATGGCGATAGCCGTGGCAGCGAATAGCAGTAGCCCCACAACATGCACACGGTCCGAACCAGCAGCGCCACCGGCGACCAAGACCACCACCATCCCCGCCACCGCCACCGCCACCGCCANNCGCCACCGCCACCCCCACCACCACCACCACCACCACCACCACCACCACCACCACCACCACCACCGATGCAGCAGCACCTCCAGTAGCACCAGCAATAACGACGAGCACTTGAACAAGGACAACGTCAGCTTCACGCACAAGTTTTTGATACGGTCGTTCATAGCCATGTGTTGCAGAAAGCGTCATGCCGCCCACCGGAATGTGAGCTTCCATGTTATTTACAAGGTTACGGTGGAATGTCGTTGACATGCTAGTTTCAGACTGACGGCAACGCCGTGTACGGAAGAGCACCTGGAACACCCGAAAACAGCAAGCAGATACTGTAGCAGCTAGATCATGTCAGCGACCTCGGGAACTCCAATTGAAAAGATCCTTAACTTTGGTGAAGGCGTGTCGAGCCACATCGCATTCGCGTTTGGCTTCAGACGCTTGCCACTGGATCGCGTGTGGCACCTCCTTTTCGGAAATCTTTGTTGATGAGAACTCCCATTTTGTGCAGGAAGCTTGCGTTGCTGCCAGTACGTAGGTTGGCGGAGACTCTGCGCATGTCTCAGATCGAAGATTAACGACTTCTTCCTGTGGCCAAACGGCAGATTTGATGAATCATGTCAGGTTTGGTTTTGCGAGCACCCTTCCGTAGCTGCTGGTGACGGCGTGGCTGGATGGGGCCAGGCTGGAATATTTCCAATACTAATCATAGGCATATCACTGCTCGTTCGCGCAAGGATAGGATGAAGCAAGAAGGTGCCGAGACTCTCACGTCTGTGCTTCCGTGCTCCGTTGAGGTGTCGGATGACGGCGAGGCGGGGCGATAAGTTGAGCTGCATTTGTAAATCTGTTGTTTCCGGGACTTCCGGCATTCGCCGTCCGCTGCTTTGATCCCCAACGGTTTGTGGCTCCAAGTGCTGTCTGCAGACAAGCAAGCTGGACGATGCACATGAGCTCTTTTGCACGGGCTGTTGTTGGGTGGGCCTCCCTGTGTGGCACAGCCCTTTGTTCCTCGCAACCCCTCGAGATGCACTAGCAGCTAGTGGCTAGCCTGCGCTGCAAGCCGCGACCTGCACACAAGCAGCGAGCGGTTATCGCCTCTTTTCATGGTGGCACGACTATGACAAATCACTTGGTGCAGCCTAGAGACAATATGCTTGCTGCTTGCTCGATTTGCAGGATTTCCAGGTGAGAGCCGTGCACTCAGGAAGAGGGACTCCTTCTTAACTTGGGTTTGAGTCACTTCTCCTCCACTTTCATTCTCAGTCACAGTTGTCCGCATGAGAGCACGGACAACAGTCGTACATAATTCTACAATTTCGTTCCTGGGTCCGGCAGTTGTAGCATGACCTGTGTCGCCAGGTCGTGTACGATTTGGAAGATCCTCCGGACTGGCTCTACGCGGCCTATCGGTCCCTAGATCGTGTACAGAGACTTCAGTGCTTAAAGCTTGCAATAGCTTGCAGGCGTGTGCAGTCACTTCAAACCTAGGCTTTTTGTGGGCGACGCGGCCCGCAAGCCACGAGACTTCCGCCAAGTGGACCCCGACAAATCAACGATTCAAGACAGCGTTGAGGGCCGAAATGGTTTGGGGGGATGGAGGCCTCGGTCTTTCGAAATGGATTCTAAGTGAGAGCACTTTGCCGCAAGATCTGGAGCTTTTTTGTTTGCCGTTGCGCAAGCAACTTGTCCATAGTTACATAGCTGTCCCCGCAGGACACGCACTTCGTCCGGAGTGTGGACCTCGCGTTTCCTTATTGAGCGAAAAGCAGACAAACTGCGGCTGGGCTGGGAGCTGCGCGATTCGCACTTTGCACGCCTTGCCTTGCTGCCCCCGTATCCAGTTCTGATCCAGTTGCTGCGCACTCGACCGCAGCATCCTGACAGGCTGCAGCACTTTGGGCGCCCCCCCTCCAGAGGCGAGACATGATAGTTGCTCGCTGAAGCCTGCCCCTTCTTGTTTCGTCTGTTCCACTTGTCCCACATGTGCAGGAGGTGGTTCGGCTTGACCCGGCCAGTGTCTCAGCCGTCCGCCTCGTGCGCAGGGAGAAAGCCTCCAGCCTTAACGTTCTCCATGCAGCGCATGCTGCCATTTCCCATCCAAGCCCTTTTGCGAAGGCGGCCGGTGCCTCTTCCACCATGCCGACGCGCGATAGGACTGTCTGTGAGAGTTTCAGACAGAAAATGTCAGTATGTGAGATTAGGTGAGGCTATTTGCACTGTGGGTCAGTGATGTCAGCTTGCCAAGCTCTGGTTTTCCAGGTGGAGTTTGCAGGCTCTGCAACGCGAAGTGGAGAGCCACCCTCGACCTATTTCAGCCGGTCACATCCGAAACTGACCCGAGAGGCCGGAGCGGCCTACCGGGAGCCCTGCTCTTCGCCCAGAGGCCAGGCCGCCCAGGCCGCAGACTTTGTTGGCTTTCCGAGTGCGAGCGTGGAAGGCAGACACTGGTGAGCCAGGGCCTGAGCATCGCCTTTGCGATGCATGCATCTGGCCACAGGGAAAAGCTGAACACGGCTTGATGCCACTGCCGAAACCGGTACTCGTGAAGCCCCTGTCTGAAAAAGCCTGCGAGCTATCCGCTATCCGCGTCTTAGCAATCCCTGATAGTGTAGCAACCATGGCTGCGCCCGTTGCTTTCTCAGGTTAGAGGAGTCGGACAGCAGTGACGAGGACGATAACTTCCGGGAGTTCAAGGGCTGGACCGTGTTTTTGGAAGTGTGGCAACTTTTTCTTTCTGGTCTTGCAACTGGCTTCTTTGCGCTTCTGCTTTATGCTTCTGGCTTTGACATTTTGGCTATTTTTGGCTTGTAGCTTCCTCCTGGGGTTTTTCTCGTCGCTGCGTGCCTGTCCCCTGCTGCTGCTACTGCTTGTGCTGCTGCTACTACCGCTACAGCTACTATCACTTCACTAGGGCTAGACTAGTACTGTACTAGTTCCCAATGTCGCTGTGTCATATTTAACTCTGCTGGTTGTAGAGAGACCCAAGCCCCGGCTTCCTGTGCCCCAGGAGCTTGAGGACCTGGCTCCACGGCCCGAACAGGCAGCACATCGTGTCAACATGTGTCATGCACAGGCTTCTCAGTTTTGCACGAAAGTGGATGCTCTTCTCGCCTATATCGCACTGGGGAAATCATGTTGAGGAAGATCCCACTAATGGGCTCGCAATCGGCAGGCACATGCGTGAGTTAGGGTAGTGGCATTCCCTCAGCCCTCTCAAGCTCCCCCGGATGTGTTGAGAAGAGATAGGGCAGGTAATCAGGTGAAACGTGTGCTTGGCCAGGGAGTTTAGTGCAGAGTTGTGTGTGACAGAGTTTGAAAATACTTTGGTTCTGATTGATTCTAGAGAGCAAGCGAGTTTACTCTGCCTGGCTCATCTCCTCTAGCTTTCGTAGCCACCTCTGATGTTCTTACTTGGACGTCAGGAGAGAGCAAGACGAGACTGCTAGATCTTAACTGCACGAGTCTTTCAGCCCGACCAATGAAGCCGTGAAGTCACAGGAACTCTCAGCTTCTGTGTGTTGATATGTGATTCGACGTCCATTCTTCCAGGTATTATCGGCATCGGTGACACAGGAGGCTGCCAGGCTTCAGCCCATCTCTGACTCCCCGTGTTCCAGATCAGACAACATCAAGACGTTTTCGGCACACTTGCGATTTCCAGCTTCGCTCGTGGTATGGAGCAGGCCCCCGGTGCCTTCCATCGTTTCGCAGCAGGACGGCTCGGGGTGTACCACGTCGTTCCAGCGCCCGGACTAGTGGACGTCCCATGATGTCCCAACGAAGCGTTGGATCCAATAGAGTGAGACGGGCAGAATACCAGGGTTTCTGAGTATGCAAATGCCGAGATTTGTGGATTTTCTGGCTTTATTGACAGGAAGCACAAGCAGCACTGTCACGCCCTCGAGAATGGACATGTGTGGGCGGAGGGTGCAGCGCAGAGGGCTAGGGCCGAGTCACGCGCGAAGCGCCACGGCCTTGACGGCTTTGGGGTTACGGCAAGTGGCTCAGGTTGCCCGCTGCAGACACGTTGGACAGCAGCGACGAGGTGCATGATCCGCTCGTGCACTGAAGCGCTGTGCCTGCACACGACGCCAGCGACGCGAGGAGGAAGTCGATGTTGATCCGGCGCGGCCACGGGCCGGACCGGAGGCCACATCGGAGGCCTGCAAGAGTCTGGGCCCGCCGGGACGTTCTCGCTTGGCAGGCACCGCTTCCTCCGATTGTCAGGCTCGCCGTCTTTGAGGGTAGGGGCAAGGGACAGCACCGTAGGCAGTGTTGCCACGCTCCTGCGCGCGCGGGTGTATCGGAGTGCGCACCAATTTTGTTTGACTAAATTCACATTCGACTGCTGTGCAGTGAGACGATGCCGTTCCAGTGCTTGTCTTTGAGCATCAGCTTCCTTGTCTGGTCAGGGCTCCGATCCCCATCCCCAAGAAGGCACGGCCAGCTCTGCAGCTCTGGACGACGGAAACCGCAGCCCGTTAATCCCTGCCGGTTTAGCAGTGCCAGGACCGTTCCTTTCCCCTCCCATCCCCAGGGTGAGCGGACAGCATCGCTTGCTGTTGCTGTTGGCAAGGGCCAGAGTTGGCAGCTGCAGGAGTATCCTTAGGACTCACATTCGCGCTCCGACGTCCGGTCTTTCAAGACAGGACGTAGCAGGCAGTGCTTTTTGAGAGGTGCCTTCACTCTCCTTCACTGGCCTCCGTCCATCGCTTCAGGGATGTCGGAGACTTACAAGCGCAACGGGCCCAACGGGTCGGTTCCTTTGGGCTCTGGCTCTGGCTCTTCTCAGAGAAGCCTCCGATTCTCAGGTTCAGGCCTTGGAGCGCCGCCACCCGAGGAGCCGCATCAGCTTGTGGAAGTGTGTTTAGGAAGTCTCTGCCTCCGACTGCAGATTCAGCATGTGAGCTCGCGTAGCAGGGCTTGAGTTTA